ACGATGATCACCAAAAAAAATTTAAACCGTAAATATTAACCAAATTACGCCGCTGACCATACGCAACTGCCGATCTAGAAGTTTATGTCTAAATAGTAAATGTTGAACAATTTTTATTTGTTTTGATATTGATTACAAATATAGTCGTTTAGTCAATTATGGTTAGTTAATTTAATTTTTAATTAATTAAAAAATCAATAACCTAACCTAACTTATTAAGTGTGTATACTTATACGTCTCACATATTTTCATATTGTTCATTTTTATGCTGTTGTGTATTTGTAATGTTTTGTAACTACAACTGCTGTTTACGGCGACTTGACGATTAGTGATGAGAAAAATATAGTTTGCCTCACAWATATTGTTAAAAAATATTATATTTCGTAGTAAGGGCACAATCATGTTTTTATTTTATTTTAAGTTTATCCTTTTTAAGCATTGAATAGGCAGCTAAATTGACATTATGGCAGTTATGTATCCTAACATTATTAATTTATGATAGAATTTTACTTTGAAATATATTAATTTTGAATCTTGGCTACACTGTCTAGTGTTTACGTTGTTATCATTTATTATCTTAAAGCGTAATGCACTATTATAATTCGTTAACGTATTGAATTGAAATTTGAATTTTGAATCAACAAGTTTTATTGTTATTTGCTTTAAGTTTTTGTAATTTTTAATCTGTAATAAACAATTATTAATAATTATGATATTGAATATTGAGTGCTAAAARATTCGAAATTCATATTGTATCCACTTACGAAGTGTTTTARATTATTTGATTCTATATAATTTTTGAAAAATGTTCAAGCCTAARAAAAATAATAATCCATCAAAAAAACGAGACAATGATGCTCCACCTAAAACCTGTGAGTATGAGCCCAAACCTACTTTGTATTCATCGGTCATTCAAACAGAGTCGAAGTTGAGGAACATTTCACTTTCTCGTTTGGAGCCTAAGCCGAACACGATCAAAGTATGGACAATGTTTTAAAGTGTATGTTTGAATATTTTTGATTGTATTTATGTTCATATTCAGGGAGGTGTCAGGGAAGTAAATTTCCCACTGACCAAACACGTGTACGACTATAATAATATGGTAAATGTCGGATTAAATAGCAATTCGAGCACAGTAACTAAACCCAAGCCTAGGGAACCACATTCAACAAAAAAAACAGAACCCAAGTTGAGCGATTATTACACTCCTAGTTTTGATAATGTACARCGGATACAGATGGACAGCGTAAAAACTAATCCAGAGTTAACAGTACAATATGATGGTTTGGCGGTGACGAGATTACTGAACGAAATTGATGATTTAATTTTTATATAAANCACTCCCAACTCAACTCCAGTACTAATCCTCTCATTAAAGATATGGCTTCACTGCATACCCCAGGCAACCCCCCTCGCAGGCTCAAACGAAATTGGAATCGAGATCTCCTTAAGTGATCTAAATCCAACTATAAGTTCTTAGGTGTTACCAATGGGTGACTTCCTTAAAAGTTGTTGTTTTTTAAAAATAATTATGTATATATTCTATATCAAAATTACTAATGTGCTTGTTGTACAGATTGTTTTTGAAAATAAAAATAATAAAATAATAAAAATTATCTTACAGCTTTACAAGTTATAAAACTGTGTGGTACGTTTTTTCGTTATCGTTAATAATTTCAACTCGATTGCATCTGTACAATTTTTTATAAAAACACAATCCGTGACGAAATTATCTAATAACGAAAATCGAAATGCCTTGGCATTATTCAGTACACATTTTTACAACAAAAGTATTTTGTATCTTTTGGCAAAAAAGATACAAGTTACTGGTATAAAATGTATCATGATATACATGATACTTGATACTTTAAAATTATGTATCATGATACAAGATACAAGATACAAGTGTATCTTTGATACTGCCCAACCCTGATTATATGTTTGTTATTAGTTAGGTATTAATTATGCACTTGATATTCAAAACTTTGTATGTCATTCAAACATGATGTTACTCGAAAATTATGAGTCGATATGCTTAGGACCACAAAAGAATATTATGTATATAAATCGCTGTAGAGAATCGTCAAAGTAGTTGAGAGATGATTTGATGATTCAACTCATTTAAGTGAACCGAGTCGTATAGGAATTGAATCGTCTTAATTAATTGAAATTTCCACCTCTAAATTAAATTATAGCCATAAAGTCGCTTGTGTTAATTGTCCACACTATATATATGTGTCGACCGCTGTACTCGAGTACAACCATATAGGTACGCAGTGATGCAATTATTGGGGTGTTACAAAACGATACCTTTGGAACAACAAAAGTATTAAAGTTTAAGTTCAAAGTCCCGCCCCACCCACCCCCCATTCCCTGAATTTTTTACTTAATTATAATAAATTGTAAAAACAATGATAATGTTGAAACGATTAAAATTGAATAAATGAAAAAAAAAATTATTTTTC